TCATTATAACAAAAGAAGATGACCTTCAGATCCTTATCAAATATCAGGCCAGAATTAGGCGAGTTCATAGAAGGAGCAGCTAATGTCGCCAACATATTATCACCGATTATTCCAATGCTCAGCATTATCACCAATTTAATAAATGAAATATTTACAATTTACGAGAAAGCCCAATTTAATAAAAAAATTTTAGGATCTATAATTGATCGCATTGTTGCTGTTGAAGCGATCATGAACATCTTGAAATCACGGACCAAATGCGATGAAAAATTTCAAGATTTGCAATATCAAAAATCATTTCTTAGGTTTCAAGATTCTTTAGAGAAGATCAAAGTGTTTGCGGAGGAGGTGACCCAGCTAAGAGGTGTTGGAAAAATTTTATGTGCTACAAGCATAAAAAAGAAGTTTAACGAATTAATGGAAGAGTATGAAGCATGTATGAAGGATTTGAGCTTCACGATGATCATAATCTTTGATGAACAACGAAGAACTGATAATGATATTTTATATAGTGCTCTTGCTAAAATGTTTAAGGTATGGAAAATGAAGATGTAAGATGCATTGCTCAAGCCGTAGCATATAATATAAAATAATCGACAAGTTATTGGCATTGATATTATATGTATGCTGCTGCTTGTGTAATTGCACTTTGACTCATATGAGAATTGTGCAATTAACTAATACTTTTAGTGACGCATTTTATTAAATGCATCATGAGGGGATTAGTTAGCATTCCACCAATCTGCAACTCGACATATAATTCTAATAAATTTGAAATAAATATAGTCTATGAAAACATCTTTCACTGAAAATAGTCAACAAATAAACAGTCTTTATCAAGAAGTATGTCATATCAAAGGCCAGCTCGAAAATGTCACAAACTTACTCCAACAACTTAATACAACTTTATTGAAGGATCCGTCACTTAGACACTAAGAAAAGGAAACTGGTATTTTAATATTTAAACTTGGTTTTTTTTTATCTTAGAATTATCATTATTGTTATTATTAGACTTGAAGAAATGGTTTGCAATGAAGCCCGCGACTGTTTCATTTATTTACTTTAAATTTGGGTTATTTATAG